AGAGAGAGAGAGAGAGAGAGAGAGAGAGAGAGAGCTTGGTGACATTTGGATCCAGACTCGACATTGGACTTCAAACATTTTGACGAGGGATTATTGGGGACTTGTAACGAGACTTGGTGTTGACGACTTTCCCATCCCTCCCCTCCTCTTCGTCTAATCCCCTCCTGTTCGTCTGTGCATGGCTGGACCTGGCGCCTCTTCCTGTGTATAGCACCAGGCCCCTTCACACCTGGTGGTGAAAGTGATGTATGTTTAGTCTGTATTGCGACATTGATTGGGCTCATCATTAGTATTCTAGCCTTCTGCTTCGCTAGCTTGTACTACGTAAAAAAGGTCAGTCCCGGTCAGGTCAAGACTTGTATCTAAGTCTTCCACTGCACTGTAAAGCACCATTTTGTATGTATCAGAGTGTACACTGCTCGTTGAGATTTCACTTGCACGGTGTTGTCCATTCAGTCCTTTTCATCACATTGCGGATCCTTGGTTATTATGTACATCGCCCAACTAGGCATGTAACAGTCTGACTGTGTGAAACAAGGCCCCTGAAACGAGGCTTCAGAGGCCGTGCGCCGACAGTTGACCAAAGTCAACTGTAACTCGGAATATTGAGGCTGTCCAGGCCAGGCCACCAATCAGAGACACACTTGGAGGTATGCAGGCCACCAATCAGAGATACACTTGGAGGTATGCAGGTATCCAGGCAGTGGACCCAGTCCAGGCCACCAATCAGAGACACACTTGGAGGTATGCAGGTATCCAGGCAGTATTTGGTACAAGTGGAAGTCTGTAACTGTACACGATCCAGACAATCGACAGTGAGTCAATCTGAGCCTTCGTACTTGAGAGACAAGAGGCTGGTCAACGACGTCAACATTATTTATTGACCGAGTCCCTGTTGGTCAACATTCAGTCTTGCACTTGCTGCTTGATGTTGGCAAGACGATGTCACTACGCAGGCATTGTATGACGACAATGCGAGACTGCTGCATTGCGTACTGGCGCCTCTCTGCTTTTGGCACCAACTGTCTACTTGGTTGCTGACATGGCACTTGCCACGCTGTCTTCGACATTTGCTGACGTGGCGCATGCCACACTGTCTTCAACTCAGATTTGGGAATCGATGAGGCGGGAGGTTAGGGCTGTGGGATTGATTGAGAGAGACAGGAGAACTCACCTGGTTGATGCTGTCGACATTATTGCGCTGCTGTGACGCCTTCATGAGAGATCTGTGCGTACGTGACACTATGCTGATCGAATCTTGTCAGACTCGTTCTGGGATACTGATTGCTGATGTGGACGAGGGGAGACACCCGAAGGGGAAGTGGATTATGAGGAGGTTCTATCTTTGATGACATTGATGGTTATTTTCTCTTCCACTCTCTAAGTCTATTTCTCCCTCCTATCAGCTTCGTCCTCTGGCTGCAAGACATTGTATTACAGATCACATTTCATGATTATTGGAGACATTTATCAGCACTGAGACATCTTGTATTTCGACACTTGACGAGTTTCTCTCGTGACTGGGTTCATTACAATTTGGTATCGGAGTTTACGTCCTTCATCACGATCTGCTGTTGCGCGCCTTGACGCGCCAAGGTAGGTACGGGGGTGCCGCGTGCATATTGAATCACATCTATAGACGCGCGCGATTATAATCGCTATCTGGACATTTTCTGACGCGCGCACACCTACCTGATGAAGATGATTACGTGGACTTGAAGAAGAAGACGGCGACATTGCTTACGTGGCGCATTGTTGCTGAGGTGGCGATCGGTGACCGGGAGAGCATCGTTGGTTGTAGCGCTAACGTGGCGCTGGATGATCGATCAAGGAGAGAGAGAGAGAGAGAGAGAGAGAGAGAGAGAGAGAGAGAGAGAGAGAGGGGGGGGGGGGGGGGGGGGGGGGGGGGGGGGGGGAACTGCTGACGTGGTATTGGGAGCGCTGCCTATGTGGCATGGCGCATGGGTGCTCATATGGCATCCAAAGGACTGGCGGGTATTGTCCGACGTGACACTTACCTGTGTCGCGGCTTACTTGTTGACGTGGTGCTTCCCAGGCCGTAGTGGTATCTTCAGTCTGAAGTGGCATACTAGTGACGAACGGGTTGGCAGAATCGTGCGCTGATGACGTGGGTAACGTCCCATTTGATGGCCTTGCATGCCACTGTCGTTGACGTGGCATACTCTGTGGATGTGTTGCGTTGGCCAGACTGAGATGTGACACGTGGAAGTAGGAATTGCACTGCCATTACCTTAAAGATTGGTGGGGACCGACACTTGCACTTGGTGCACTAACAAGCGGTACAACACGAGGTTATGTCGTAGTGTCCCGCGTTAGTCCTTGTGCCTGGCACGAGTATCTGCAGCGAGACAGCAAGAGGCTGGGCAGCTGACACATTGATTGTTTGCGTTGTTCTTGGCTAACTCTACTCACTTGTCGTGGGCTGTTCTGTGGATGCTTAGTACTCACCAACTGTGTTGTTGTCTTGATCACACTAACCGTGGCTGCGGTACCTGCACACCCTCAGATAGGAACGTCATCACACAAATAAACAACAAAATTAAAAATATACAACATTGAAGAATCCGAATCCTTATTTATTTATTTATTTTTTTTTTGCCGTGGAAGAAGAAATTGAAGTGAGGCTGTGGAATTTTCTATTGTCTTTTTCAGTTTATTGTGCGGCAAACTCACTCATTAGGATGACTTTTGTGTGAAATTGTTTGCGTGTGTGTGACGGACCTGCAAGGATGGCGGTCCGTCAGGATCAAGACGAAGGGATGAGGATGGGGGAGATGGAGATGGAGCTGGAAGGGACAGCGCAACTCTAACACAGACTCAACACGTACATACTCCAAACTGTGCAAATGAAGAATGAGTTGAAAACAAACTGCAACTGGGGTATACCTCCAGCGGACTGACTGGACTGGCCTGGTACCGACAGTGGTACCGGGAAGGACTGAACTGGACTGAAACAGCACACAGCCTGTGGGGTCAGGCCCACTGCACGATCCTCAGACCTGTAGTGGACGACAAAAGCCATAAACACGCTATCCGCAAAAGCAACGGAACTCTGCAATAAAGAAAGCTGAGAAATCTAGGATGCGGGGCAAGCTCTATGCGGAGTCCATGCGATACAGCCTAAGCTACATAAGGTTAAGTGAAAAGCAAATGTTTGGTATACACATCCTAACTAACGAGAGAAAATGACATATAGCAAGATGCAATCCTTAAGTCCTAGAGCCAATTGCCTCAGTGCTGAAAGGAAAAGAGAGCAATATGTCACAAGTAATGTCATGTCGCTGAACCACTAAGAGTGGGATGGTCTCAGAAGGGGTGAATGCAACCTAAGAAACGAGACTCCTAAGGGCAGTCACACACGAAGGTAGGATAGGTCATCGGGCTCAGAGTAAGGGAGTGGTAGCGAAGCAAAACCAATGACCCTAACAGATAGACCATCAAGGCGGGTAATGCTCGACGAAAGGGTGACAGTGTGACACCATACAGGGTCGACTCTGAAAGGGGAGCCTGGAAGAGGGTGGTCATATGCCTAACTGAAGGCTTGCAATGGCCGACACCAAGTTGATGAGGGATGCAGTGGGTGAGGGAAACATGCACACAACTCACCGACTTCGGAGGGAGCTAGATCTGGGAGCAGGGAAGCCAAGACAACGCTACAGTCCTGATGCCTATGCGATACCAAGGGAGAGCCCAACTCAGAGAGGCCCAGCTAAGTGACAACCATCATGCGACACACGCAACGGAATATATAAGGTAGGGTGGTGGCATGAAGTAGTCACGTCCAAAGTAACTGAAGTCGATAAGGTAGTTGAAGTCGTCGAAGTGGTCGATGACGTCGATGAAGTAGGAGTCGAGTCGATGTCGAAGCAGAGCCGCAAAACGGTGACATCCTGAAGAAGCTGATGATGGAATACCTGAAGAAGTGAGTCAATAGGAAGATAGTAGGTGATCAGAGTGTCAGTCGTCGAGATGCCTAGGGTGTCGACAAGTGCACTGTGGATGCACGGAGACGTCCGTCTGCTGCTGAAGGACGGCCTTAGAGGGGGCAAGCTCGTCCTCGGCAATCTCCTCAGCCGGAGGAGGAGGAAAAGGGTTAGTTGGTTGAGTAGGAGCAGATGTCTCAGCATGACGAGCACGATCATATGCACGCACCAACATCCGGGCGTGCTCCAAGTGCTTGAGGGGCTCCCAAGTAGCCTCGTCATCAGGATAGCCCTTCCAACGCACAAGGTACTTGATGCATGGAGGGCTATCGTCAAAAGCTCGGCGAGATGCGATGTCGGGCACGACGAACTCCTCGTGACTGTCCACCATGATAGGTGGAAGGCGCTCATAAGGATATCCGGCGAAGCGCTCGGACGGTCTACGATAAGGACGCAGCAAGGAGACGTGGTAAACATCGTGTACGCAAGCCTGTCGAAGGTAATCAGGTAGTTTCACACGGAAGCTGACCGGACTAGCGACAATATCAGAACCAACAGCCTGAAGGATGAGGCATGGACCGAAGAAGCGACGCCTGAACTTGCGAAGCGTATCCGGTTCAAGTTGCAAGTGGCGTGCGTCGACGAGCACATCGTCACCGACTTTCAATGGATGATCCATTCGTGATCGGTTCGCTCATGCGACCATGCGAGTCTGCGAGTCGGCTAGGCTCTCGTATGCACGCTTCATAATCGCCGCCACGTGGGCGATCCAGTCATCAAGCGCAAGACAACGAGTGTCTGGGCCGCGACAGTCGTAGGAAATGCGCGGGTACGAGAGGGTGGTAGTCGAGGTCGCAATAGAATGGCGACATCCCCGTGGTTGGCGAAATGGCGTGGTTGTATGCAATCTTCGCGTGGGCTAAGTGTAAGTCCCACTGCTGGTCATCCTTAATAAACTTTCGAAGGATATTATCGAGAGTTTTATAAGTGATCTTCGTCTGACCATCCGTCTGAGGGTGGTAAGACGATGAGAAGCGAAGCTGGGATCCGTACACCTCGTGTAGGCGTCGCGAGAATGTGTCGGTAAAGCGTGGGTCACGGTCGGAGATGATGCTCTAAGGTAAGCCGTGATCTCTCAAGACTCGGTCGAAGATGATGTCGGCGACCTCACGAACGCTAATGCGATAGCGGCATGGAACAAAACGTGCTTGCTTTGTAAAACGATCGACGACGACCAAGATAGCATCATGCCCGCGCTCAGTGGGTGGAAGGAGGGGACCAACGAAATCCATCGAGATGGACTGCCAACGACCCTCAAGTATGGGTAGGGGCTGAAGTAACCCATACGGAAGATGGTTCGCATTGTTCACCTCCTGGCAGGTAGGACACTTATGGATGTAGGTTTTAACGAAGTCCTTGGACTTCGGCCAGACGTATAGGTGGCAAACACGAGCTAACATCTTGTGGAAGCCCACATGACCGACAACTGCCTGGTCATGGAACTCTACTACGGCCCCTGGACGCGGAGCTGTCCGGTGGAGGGAACACAGATACGTGGTTCTAGCTGACCAGATCTTCTCACCGAGGGAGTATGAAGGAACGGTCTTGCCACTCCGCAGTGTCGCGTGGATGACGTGATAATTCGGACAGTGACGGTACTGAGTGCAATATGCATCGATCACCGACTGATCAACAATGGTGATGGAGATGGCAGCAAGATGGATGGGTTCCTGATTGTGATCAGGACGGTGGGACAAGGCAGCGGCAACGCGGTTCGTTTCACCCTTGATGGGCTGAGTGGTGAAACTGAACTCGGACAAATCACGCCACCGACATGCCTATCGAGGGACGAGCTTGGGCCTGAACAAATGAGTTGTCCGTGCGCACCGTGAACGGTGCCCCGTGCAGATAATGACGTCAATGTCGGGTAGCATAAACTATTGTGAGAACCTCACGTTCATCGGCAGTGCAATTTATCTCGGCAAGCAGGAGTTTATGGGAGTAGATTGCGATCAGGCAATCCCCAACACGAGCCTCGACAGTCCCATCCTCCGCCATGGTCGGGAAGTAACGGGAGGACTGTTAGTGGATGAAAGTGGTGGGAGGATAGGCGTCAGTCGAGAAGCAGTGCCAGCAAGAGGGGGGGGAGAGGAAGAGGAATCCGGGGATAAGGTGAATCAGAAGGAGAGGGAAACACCTGAGAAAGTACAACTCCTACTGCAGAATCTGATGCATCAGTGGTGACGATGAAGGGACGGTCAAAATTGGGAAGGCGAAGAACCGGTGCACAAGTCACCGTCTTCTTGAGGGTGCGAAAAGCGTCCTCGCAGAGGGGTGTCCAAAACCACGTCGGGTTCTTCCAGAGGAGGGTGGAGATAAGGGAGAAGCGGTTAATGGAAGGCCAAAAATTCGGCGAATTTTGGCGAATTTTTCACCGAAACTGCCATATTTCCCTAAATTTTAACTTTTTTCTCG